TTGTGATAATGTGTGCACACACACACACGCATATTGTGTATTTGAAGAGTTATGTGTGTGCGTGTGTTTCTAAAAATGGTTATAGCATCCAATTAATATCACATATTTCGGGGGGAAAATCGAAAATGAGAAATTTGCAAATTTAAAAGAACAGGTGAATGTAGGAGTATTTTTAATATAAGTTCATTATTTATTGTAGTGAATTTTTTACTAGATTACATTATCAGGTGCCTATAATTTTTTATATATATTCTTTATCATATTTTTTAAATATATTTTTTGTCAAGATTAATTCTAAGATATTTTTTTAAATAATTTTAAAATTTCATATTTTGCGAAAAAAAAATTGTAGTGTAGTGATAATAGCACGTGTATGGCGCTTCTGGAACGTTGATATGGTTTGAGTAGCAGATATTTTCTTTGCCAAAAACATAGTGGCAACGTTCCAGAAGCGCCATACACCAACTACTTTCACTATTACAATTTTTAATTGAATTATTTCCCTAAAAAATAAAGAAAAATCAGGAACTTAAAGAAGTACTTTCAAATCTAAAATTTAGCGAAGAGCATAATATTTGAGGCCCTTTGTATATGATTAAATCTATACAGGGTGAAATATGGTGTGGGCTGCCCGCCATAACAGCCGAAGGTGGCTCTCCGCTCGTATTAATCACCCGTGGCATCAGAATAAATACCGAATATTACCGCGAAAATATTCTGGAGGGTGTATAAAGGCCTTGGGCACGCAAACATTTGGGCATTCCACCAGGACTCAGCTCCATCGCACTCAGCACGCGCCATCTAGGAATGGTTACGAAATGAGGTTCCTCGCTTCATTACCAGCGCACAATTGCCACCAAAAGCCTCCGGATACCAATCTGTTGGACTATTGTGTCTCGTGTATTTTAGAAAGCAAGGTTGGCACTAAAAAATACCAAAGTGACGATCACGTCCAGCAAGCGCTTTGCCGGGAATGGGCCAAAATACCACAGAGCAACATTCGGGCAGCATGTGACGGTTTCATTGGCCATTCGAAGGCGATAATTCGTGCCAATTCGAACAAATCAAACTTATTTTAAAATTTGATGGTATTTCCGACATTTTCTGCTTTCATTCAATAAAATTTTTACTTTGACCTTTTAGAAAATTTCAATAGAATTTAGGGGGATTTATTTTAGCGATTTGAAGCCAAAAGGTATACAATGAACCACAGCATTTTTGCCAAACAGTAGATCTAATGCACAAACAATAGCAACGTTCCAGTAACGCCATAAACCTACTACTTTTACCATTTTACAGGTTGTATTATTACTCTTTTCAAACTTAAAAATATCAGAAATTGTTGTAAACCTTAAAAATATGAATCGAATAAAAATAAAATATAGCATGTCTGATATACAAATTCTGAATATTAGATTTGTTGATATGGAAAAATGCTGTAATGTAATGAAGCAAAAACGAAACCTAAAAGTATGCAATGAACCACTATGTTTTATTTCAAACAACAAATCAAAGACACAAACCATATCAACGTTCCAGAAACGCCTTAAAACTCTTACTTTTACTAGTTTTACAAATTTTGCTAGCTATTTCTTCACAAAATATTAAACATAAATTAAGTTATTGCGAAAATTGCTAAATTTCATAAACCAGAATCTTTTAATAAAATTTTGAAGGACCCATAGCCAATTTTAAAAGTGAATTTTTAAATAGAATTTTAGGGACCCATAGCAATTCTAAAACGTCGATTTTTACATAGATTTCATAAAAAAAAATTAAGAATTTTCGGGGATTTATTATTATATTTACAATCACATTTTTTTTGGCAAACGATAGATCAAATGCGCAAACCATAGCAATGTTCCAGTAACCCCATACACCTACTACTTCTGCAATTTTAAAGGTTTCATTATTAATCCTTTCCAAAATTTTTTAGAAAAAATAGCTCAAGTTGTAAAACGTAAAAATATGTACGATTAAAATATAGTAGGTCTGATATACAACTTCTGAATATCTGGAATTTTGAGGGACACATAGCAAGTCTTAAACGTGGATTTTTACATAGATTTTATAGGAATTTTCATTAGAATTTTCGGGTATTTATTTGAGCGAATTCAAGCCTAAAAGTAAGCAATGTACCACCATATTTTTTTTTTGGCAAACAATAAATCTAATGCACAAACCATAGCTATGTTCCAGTAACCCCATACACCTACTACTTTTACCATTTTAAAGGTTTTATTAGGAATCCTTTCCAAAATTAAAAAAAATATATATCAAAAATTGTTGAAAAAGTAAAAAATATGAATCGAATTAAATATATAGCAGTCTGATATAAAATATCTGAATATCTGATTTGTTGAGGTGGATGAATGCTGTAATGTAATAAAGCAAAAATAAAACCTAAAAGTATGCAATGAACAGCTATGTTTTAATTCAAACAACAAATCAAAGACACAAATCACATAAACGTGCCAGAAACGCCATAAATCTCCTACTTTTACTAGTTTTATAATTTTTGCTAGCAAAAATATTAAACAATACACAAAATATTAAAACAATTAAGTTAATGAAAAAATTGACAAATTTCATAAACGAGGATCTTCAAATAAAATTTTGAAGGACCCATGGCAAATCTTATTAGCGGATTTTTAAATAGAATTTTTAGGGACCAATAGCAAGTCTTATACTTGGATTTTTATATAGATTTCTTACGAATTTTTAATAAATTTATCGGGGATTTATTTGAACGGATTCAAGCCTAAAAGTAAACAATGTACCACCACATTTTTTTGGCAAATAATAAATCTAATGCACAAACCATAGCAATGTTCCAGTAACCCCATACACCCACTACTTTTACCATTATAAAGTAATCATTATTATTTCTTTAAAAAAAAATTAAAAAAGCAAATATTGTTGTAAAACTTAAAAATATGAATAGAATAAAATATAGCAGGACTGATATACAAATTTTGAATATTAGATTTGTAGATGTGAAAAAAATTCTGTGAATTTCAGACATTTTTACAAAATTTTGCGTCCTACATTTTATGAAAAATGCCATTTGCTAAGAGCTATTATAAATCAGCTTGATCTTCGATATGAACCAAATTTTTAATAGCTTAAAGGCCTTACCTACACTTTCAAATACATCAGCTGTTGATAAGACGCCTTAAAGTATGCAAAGGATTGGAAAACTTGTTAAAAAAGAATAAACTGAGAAAACTGAAACACAAAAAAAAAAAAACAGTAAAGAAAGTCTTAAAGTCGGGCGGGGCCGACTTTATGATACCCTACACCACTTTTCTAATTTAGTAGAGCTCCACATAACAATTAATAGTTTTTATGGGAGAATTCAATCATACACGCCATGATTATAATTATAATTTAAAGTTCAAAGACTAAATATGCCGAAGCATTTGTATCCTTTAAATTCGGAATTGTATTGCCCATTTGGTGCACAAATAATTTGAAATCGGATAAAGATATCTGAACCAATCTTCACCAAATTTGACACACTAGCTTCTAGACTCAATTCGGTCGTAAGTGCCAAATTACATCACATTTGGACAAATATTAGACTTTTGGTGCAAAATCCAAGGTAAATCGGACGAAGTTATATATGGGAGCTATATCCAAATCTGAACGGATCTCGATAAAATCTAGCAAATGTATTTCTCAGCTGTAGTTGCTATATTTCCCCAAATATTGTTGTTACAGAGCGCATATTACGGCTGCGGAGGACAAAAATAACAAATCGGATGAACAATATATATGGGTGCTATAGCTGTATCTGAACCGATTTCGATCAAATTTGACATACTAGCTTCTACACTCAATTCGGTCGTAAGTGCCAACTTCCATCCCATTTGGTCAAATATTAGACGTTTGGTGCTCAATAAAAAGTAAATCGGACGAAATTATATATGGAAGCTATATCCAAATGTGAACCGATTTCGATCAAATTTCGCATACTTATTTCCAGGCCTAATTTGGTTGTATGTGCAAAATTCCATATTATTCGGGCTGATATTACACGTTTGGTGCACAATAAAAGGCAAATCGGACGAAGATATATATGGGAGCTATATCTAAATTTTGACCGATTATCTCCAAGTTCAATAGGGTTCGTCCTTGCGCCAAACAAATGATCTGTGCAAAATTTCATCTGGATAGGTCAATAAATGAGAACTGTACTTTGTTTACAAAAATACATGGCCAGACGGCGGACGGACGGACGGACATGCATAAATCGATTCAGAATGTGATTCTATGGAGATCCTCAAAAGTAACTATGGGTCTATCTCGTTTCCTTTTGCCTGTTACAAACAAATGCACCAGGCCATAATACCCTGACGACCTTGTGGTGTAGGATGTAAATATTGCAATTCTTACAAGCCTAAAAGTATACACCACACCTCATGTCATATTATTATTCCCAATAATATTTAAAACCATAAATTTTGACATCAATTAAAATTCAAATATTCCAAAAATCAAAATATTCCATCCCTGGTTGTCATTGCCAACTGATTCAGGTCACCGTACGCAAATTGAAATGACATCTGAGAGTTCAAATGCTGTCACTGGTCTTGATATGATATATTTCTCACAAATATTAAGATAGCATATATAATTTTAAGCTTACATCAACATATTGGCAGAATTTCGAAATGGATGGAGGTAGAAAAGCAACGGACAGTTAGACATGTTGCCGAACAGATGCTGACTCAAATCCCAAAAAATTGATAATGGAAACTTTAGGCAATTTCCAGTGACTGACTTAAATGACATATTGAGGGGAAAATGGAGAATGGGATTTTAGGTGGGAGAGAATCTGCTTGGCCAAGATGAAATTTTAGGAAATTTTATTCAACAAAATTTTCATAGCTTCGAAAAAAAAATATTATTTTTGGTTTTTAAGTAAAAAATATCCTCTCTTCTTTTACATATTTTTAAAATTCGTTTCCTTTTTTCTACCTTCTTCTCTTTTCCAGTTTGCTTAGCAGGTTACAATGAAAAGAGACTGTTACATGATCTATTAGATACATACAATACCCTAGAGCGACCGGTTTTAAACGAATCGGATCCATTACAATTAAGTTTTGGTTTAACTTTAATGCAAATTATTGATGTGGTAAGTACAATTTTTTTCTACCATTTAAAAATATTATTCATTATTATATAAGTTCCATACATAAGCTATTTTAGGCCTTTAATACACAATGTCACATTTCATAAAATGAAAATCAAAAAAAAAAAAAAAAAAAAACAAATTAAATATTTAATAATAACGTCCACACATCAGCGAGCCGAGAAATAGGATTAAGGCAATGCAAGGCCAATCAAATGAAATGTGAATACTTGAAAAGTTAATATCCCCTACCTAAGAATATCAATGGCAATGTCATACAATTTTCATATGCATTGCTGACAGCTTAAGTCAGTTAAGCCTCCGAATGGAGAGGGGGATATGGAAAAAAAATAATAAAATAAAAAAAAACAAAATGGTTTAATTTTAAAGAAATAAGAAATCTTGTATGGGTTATTTAAATCAGTGAGGGAATTGTGAGCCTAAAAGTATGCAATGAACCACTACATGTTTGTGCAAACAATAAATCTAATACGCAAACCATAGTAATGTGCCAGAAACGCCATACACCTACTACTCTTATGACTTTGATGGTTTTTATTTTCAATTCTTCACGAAATTAAAAAAAAAAAATTGTAAAACATTCAAATTTTAATGGATGAATAAATGTCTTATTTTCTTGAGGTGTAAAAATTCGCGAAATTTTTGCTTGATATGAGTTTCTACGCTGTATTATTATTTATTCAGAAAATTCCCCAGAATTATAAGAAATCCGGCATGAGCGAATCTGTTGGTGAATTGTGAGCCAAAAGTATGCAATGAAGCACTATGTTTTTGGTAAACAAAATATCTGACCGTAGCAACGTTCCAGAAACGCCATACACCTACTACTTTTACTATTCCACAATTTTTTTAAAATAAATTAATTTCCCCAAAAAAATAAATAAACCAACAGTTATTATCACATTTTTATAAATTTAAATTGAATTTTATTGCAAAAAAAAAAAAGACAAAAGTTCTTGTGAAAATTCGGCCCATCCATGCACAAAGCATGGCAACTTTCCAGAAACCCCATTCACCTACTACCTTTACAACTCTACAATTTTTCAAGTTGAATTCTTTTCCAAAAATAAAGAAAAATATTTTATTTATTTTTAAAAATAAAAATCCAAAAACTATTATGAGATTGGCAACTTTCCAGGAACCCCATTCACCTTTACAACTCTACAATTTTTCAACTTGAATTCTTTTCAAAAAAAAAAATATATTTTATTTATTTTAAAAATAAAAATCCAAAAACTATTATGAAATTCCGCAAAATTATATGATTTGCCATTTTCAAGAAAATCCGGATTAAATTGGTTCGGACTCCCACTTGAGGAATTCTTAATTCTATATAAAGTCGTTAGAAGTCTTTGATGAACATATTAATCTCTGAGTCTCTCTCTAATCTCTTTTCTGTTCTACAATTTTTTAAATAAATTATTTCCCAAAAAAAAAAATTAATAAATAAAAAAAAAGTCGAAAGTTATCATGAAAATTCGGTAAGGAAGATATCTTTTCTGTTCTACAATTTTTTAAATAAATTATTTCCCAAAAAAAAAATTAATAAATAAAAAAAATCGAAAGTTATTATGAAAATTCGGCCCATTCAAGGGAGGGAATTGTGAGCCTAAAAGTATGCAATAAACTATTACATTATTGTACAAACAATAAATCCAATACACAAAGCATGGCATCGTTCCAGAAACCCCATACACCTACTACTTCTACCACTTTACAAATTTTCGAATTGAACTATTTTCTAAAAAAAAATAAATAAATAGAAATCCAAAAGTTATTATGAAAATTCAGCCCAATTAAACGCTTTACCATGCTGAAGAAATACCGGCTTAAATTGGTTCGGATTCCACCTGAGGAATTCTTAACGCTATATAAAGTCATAAGAAGTCTTTGATGAGCAAATGGTGAGCCTATAAGTATGCAAAGAATCACTACGTTTCGGGTAAACAAAATATCTGATGCGCAAACCATAGCAACGTTCCAGAAACGCCATAAACTTACTACTTTTACTGTTCGAAAAATTTTCAAATTGAAGTCTTTTCCAAAACAAAAAAAAGAAAATAAATAAATAAATAAAAATCCAAAAGCTATTATGAAACTCGGCCCAATTAAATACTTTACCATGTTCAAGAAAATCCGGGTTAAATTGGTTCGGACTCCTACCTGAGGAATTCTTAATTCTATATAAAGTCGTAAGAAGTTTTGGGTAAACAAAATATCTGATGTGCAAACCATAGCAACGTTCAAGAAACGCAATTCACCTACTATTTTTTCTGTTCTAAAATTTTTTAAATAAATTAATTCCAAAAAAAAAAAATAATAATAAATTAAAAATTAATAAAAATTCGAAAGTTATTATGAAAATTCGGCCCATTTAAAAGCTTTACCATTTTCAAGGAAATCTGGGATAAATTGGTTCGGATCCCTATCTGAGGAATTTTTAACTCTATATAAAGTCATAAGAAGTCTTTGGTGACATAAGAAGTCTTTGATGAACATGTTAATCTCTGATCGAATTGTGAACCTAAAAGTATGCAATGAACCACTACATTTTTAAAACAATGTAACTAATGCACAAACTATGGCAACGTTCCAGAAACGCCATACACCTACTACTTTTACTATTCTACAATAATTTAACATGATTCTTTTCCAAAAAAAAAAAAAAAAAATAAAAAATAAATAAATGAAACAAAAGTTATTATCAAATTTTTACAATTATTTAAATAATTTTTTTTCCAAGAAAAAAATAATAATAAGTAAACAACAAAAGTAATTGTGAATATTCGGCCCATTTAAAAGCTTAATCCTTTTAAGAAAAACCGCGTTAAATTTGTTCGAACTCCTACTTGATGAATTTTTTGAATAGAATTTTGGGGAATTTTTAATAGAATTTTGGTAGACACAAAGCTAGTCTTAAAAGTGGATTTTAAAATAGATTTTTAGGAATTTTTAATAGAATTTTGGGGAATTTTTAAGAACCCATAGCAAGTCTTAGACGTGGATTTTTATATATCGATTTTTTAGGATTTTTAATAGAACTTTGGTGGACTTTAAATAGAATTTTGAAGTCTAAAACGTGGTTTTTTAAATAAAATTTTGTGGAATCTATAGCATGACTTAAACATGGATTTTTAAATAGAAATATAGAAGAATTTTTGAGGAACTCAAAACGCGGATTTTTAAATGCAATTCTCAGGGACCATAGCAAAACTTAAACGTGGATTTTTGAAGATAATTTTGAGGAACCCATAGCAAGTCTAAGATCTGAACTCATTTTGTGAAATTTTAAAATGGAATTTTGAGATATCCATTGCAAGTTCTAAACATGGATTATGCAGTTAAATTTTGAGGGGCCAGTATCAGGTTTTAAGCGAGGATTTTTAAATAGAATTTTGTGGAATCTATAGCATGACTTAAATGTGGATTTTTAAATAGAAATATAGCGGAATATTTGAGGAACTCAAAACGTGGATTTTTAAATAGAAATATTGTAAAATTTTTGAGGAACCCAAAGCGCGGATTTTTATATGCGATTCTCAGGGACCATAGCAAGACTAAAACGTGTATTTTTGAAGAGAAGAGAGGGTGATTTTTAAATACAATTTTTGGAGATCCATTGAAAGTTCTATGAGTGGATTATACAGCAGAATTTTGAGGGGCCCGTAGCAAGTCATAACCATAAATTTGTAAAAAGAATTTTGAGGGACCCGTAGCAAGTCTTAAACCAGGATTTTCAAATAGAATATTGAGGGACCCTTAGTAAGTCTTAAACGTGGAATTGTACATCGATTTTTAGGAACTTTTAATAGAATTTTTGGGGATTTTTAAAGAGAAATTTAAGGGACTCACAGCAAGTCTAAAATGCGGATTTTTAATTCTTAAACGTGGATTTTTAAATAGACTTTTTACGGATTTTTGAAAAAAAAAAAATTTTTTTTTCTGGGATTTTTTAAATACAATTTTGAGGAATCCATAGCAAGTCCTAATCATGGAATATGCAGTAGAATTTTGAAGGATCTTTAATGTGGAATTTTGAGGGATTTTAAATAGATTTTTATTGGACTTTAAATAAATATTTGAAAAACCCATAGCAGGCCTTAAAGGTGGATTTTTGAATTAATTTAAATAGATTTTTGAGGGACTCATAGCAAGCCTTAAAGCTGGAATTTTGAGAGATTTAAAATAGATAGTTGAGCAGGCCCTAACCGACGATTTTTGAGGAATTTTAAATAGATTTTTGAGGGACAAGTTGTAGATTCTTAAAGTGGAATTTTGAGGAATTTTAAATAAAGTATTGAGTCACCAATAACCTGTGCTAAAAGTGGAATTTTGAGGGATTTTAAAAAGGTTTTTGAAAAAACCCATAGCAGGCCCTTAACATGGAATTTTGAGAGATTTGAAATACATCTTTGAAGGATCCTTAAAAGACCTTAAAACCTGAATTTTTGGGGATCTTAAATTAATTTTTGGGGGACTCATAGCAGGCCTTATACGTGGGATTTTGAGAGACTTTAAATAAATTATTGATAGGCCTTAAACGAGGAATTCTGACAGGTTTTAAATAGGTTATTAAGGGACTCATCGCAGGCAATAAACTTGGAATTTTGAGAGATTTTAAATATGTTCTTGGGTGAACCATGAAAGGTATTAAATGTCAAAGTTTGAGGGATTATACACAGATATTTGAGGGACTGATAGCAGGCCTTAAAAGTGGAACTTTGAGTGATTTTATAGATTTTTGAAGGACCTGTAGAAAGCCTTCAACGCGGAATTTTGATAAAACTTTTATAGGTCATAGCACGTCTTAAATGCGGAACTTTGAGAGAGTTTAAATACATATTTGAGGGGACCATACCAGGCTTTATACGTGGAATTTTTACTTTTTTGAAGAACCCATAGAATGCCTTAAAGGTGGAGTTTTAAAGGATTTTAAATAAATTTTCGAGCGATCAATATCAGGACATAAATGAAGAATTTTG